GTCAAGTCTCATCCAAATCGGTTCACAGACAGATTTATTTCAGACATACTTAACACTTATTGTTACATTTTGCTCAATTTACACAATATTTTTATGAATTATAGCTTATGTGTTATTCTGATGTATGAGCTATATTATTGTAGTTTCATTAAAATCCATTCAGTAATTTTTGCGTGCATCCTCACAAACTTTCACATTCATAATATTAGTAAGATTGATTGCAAAAATTTGGCCATGTCTTCAATCTTATGGAAACCTCTGGTATTTACAGAAAAAGGTGCTTTTAAAACTTCAATGATGCTATCACGGTCATACAATATAATCTTCTTTTTCAAGCCATTTAAAAATGGTCGCAGATGATAACACTATAGTACTGACTTCAGCGTTACGTGATTTTTCCAGGGAAACAGTTGTTTAGGTGCTTGGCTAACTTTGGCTTTTGGTGGTGTTGCTTTAAGATTTTTTACGTGGAGTCATTGTAGCACGAATAGGTCGGTTGGACCGAGGAAGGACCACGCTCTCGCAGAATACTACCGTAAAATATCAGCAGGTGAGTGTAGAGATTATTTGTAGTTTTAATTTTATGCGCGGAACCCTAATTGATTTTCTAAAATAAAACTAGCCTAAGTTACTCCTTGTGACATCATCATCTGCCAGTGAAAATCCCATCAAAATCGGTCCAGCCCTTTCGGAAATTAGCCGGAACAAACAGACAGACAGACGGACAGACAGACAGACAAAAACTTTAATAATTGTATTTTTGTTATTAGTACCGTATATATTTTCATACGCATTTAGTACAAAGCTGTAATTTTGACATTACAAACAGACACTTCAATTTTATTTATTTGTATAGATGTATAGATTTTATTTTACGGTAAATTTGAACATTAGTGTGTTATGTAAATTTATAATTATTGTTTATCTAACAAAAGTACAGAGTTCAGTGGACATTTTAAGTTAAGATTATTTCCTTAATTTGGATTATACAGTAGCGGATTTACACATTTGTCGCCAGTAGGCTATTCTAATTTTGCCGCCCCTACCGTACTTCTTTCTACAATTCGATGCCCTAGTTAGATATTAATTACAATTTTTTGTCAATGAAATTTTAACTTCATGATTTGTGAATTATCGTTCTAATTACACCACCTTTTTCTCGTCATTAATATAATTATTGTGAACTGGTAAATCGATGTGTCATCTTTAAAACTCAAAGATTTAGTTAAGATTGCACAAGAAATAGCTTAATATGGCTATATTTCTGAGCTAATAAAAGTTCAATCATGTACTTCTAATAAGGCCCGCTTTTCACTACGGGATATAATATATATTACATCTCGAGATATAAATTAATATCGCTCACCATACATTTCATATGGAACCGTTTACACTGAGCTATAATATATATTACATCTCAAGCTATAAATATTTTTTCGATCGACCGAGCGATATTTTCATTGTGCCCCGCACACCGTTCCGCGCCCCCGCAGAACGGTGTACGGGGTAAAGGGCGGTAATCCAGTGACCAATGACGAACGCACACTGGTTAACAGATATATCTCACAGTGTAAAAGCCATCCGCGGGATATAATTTATATTTCGGGATATAATATGTATTATATCCCATACTGAAAAGCCAGCCTAAGGCAGAATAAAGTATGCCTTAATACTATAAATAAAAAATAAAATAAAATAAACCTTTATTATTTTCTCCCACAAATTGTACATTGCATATTTTATCTTTTAAATACATAATATTTTTTTTATAAACAAAACAAAGAGTGCATAAATTTGTGGGCGACGGGAGTCCAAACTAGGATACCCTGTGCTATGGATCTCCCGGCTACCCATTTAGGATGATCAACTAGATTTTTTTTCTTTTTATTATATATAACAGAGACATTTTTTTCCGTTTGCGAAAGAGCATACGCGTAAGCGGTTTATCTTATTGTATGTGCGTGCGTGCTTGTGTGTGTGTGTGTGTGTGTGTGTGTTAACTCGTACGTGGTATGTTAAGATGCGATTTGCAGTAATTGTTCTGTTTTTTTCATAATCATGTTTAAGGAGCCAATCTGAAATTTTCTTTTTACATTCAAATTTTGTTAGGTTAATGATACGGTGTAATTTGTTTGCTTTGTTATATAATCGACTACCTCTAAAACTGAAAAACTTTTGAGCAAAAAATGTTTTTACCGGAATAATTTCACAAACTTCATAATCTGTCCTCGTACCAGAGTTCCTTATATTATCCAACAAATCAATACAACTATGTTTTTTTAAGATTATTGATAATATGTAAATTTTTCGAACAGTTAACACATTGGCTTCTGCATACAAGTTCGTAGTCGGATACATCCTAGGTTTTTTCAAGGCAATTTTTAATATTGTTGCGCGCCACTATTAATGTCTTGTACATGGCAACACTCGTTACACTAGCGCCCTCTAGTGTCGAGTAGCAGAACTAGGAGAGTCGAGATCCTTCCAGAAATTTCGGGACCGATATGTACTCGAACATTCTAGATGTCGCTACAGTAGAAGGTTCTGGAAACTATCTGAGGCCCTATATAAGGCCGGTATAGACCACGACCGGGGCAGTATTGAATTGGCGATACAAGAGAATACTTCGAAGCGAAATAACGACGAACTGTGTTTTATTATTAGTGTGATTTTAGATTGTAATTAATGTTGTGTAATTAAAGTGTCAATTTTGGTAATTCAATCGGCTGTTTTTAATTGTCTCGAACCCCAAGCTCGTAACAATTGGTGTCAGAAGTGGGATCAAATCATGCCGATTTTACCAAAGGACGACATGGAGGGTATGCGTACCCGAAGTCAACGCCAGCTGGAGGCGGACCAGAGACGATTTGGTAACGCAACGCCGCAAACGTCGGAGGGCCAGATTCTGACCACGGAGGCCGGCCCGTCAGCAGCTCCTGCATCTGCAGCACCTGACTTAGGTGCTCTGATGATGATGTTGCAGGATCAGGCTCGCCGACACGAGGAACAGGCCCGCCGACAGGAGGAACAGGGCCGTCGGTGGGAAGAGCAGCTGCAGCGCGGACAGGAGGAACAGGCCCGCCAACAGGAGGAACAGGGCCGTCGGTTGGAAGAGCAGCTTCTTCTCATGAAGGACCTTCACGCTACCTTCGGGAAAGAGATAAGGGAGGTGAAGGATAGGGTTGCTCAACATGACAACCGCCTGTCGGAAGCTGAAACCCGAATCGACCAAGTGAACAATCGGGTTACAACGTGATGGTTAACGTAAAGAAAACGCTGAACGACCTCAAAATTGGGGATGGAAGCTCCCGTGGTAGCTACAACACCTTCGCTACGTGGATTCAAAGTGCCACCGTTCGACAGGACTTCTTCCTGGTCGGCCTACAAAATCCAGTTCGAGGCTGTCATGAAAGCGAACGGCTGGAATAAAAGTCAGGCCATGACTGCTTTCACCCTAGGCCTACGCGACCAGGCCTTAACTGTCCTGGAAGCTCTCGGTAAGGAAGTGACTTACGAGCAGCTCCTTGAGGCATTGGAGGCGAGATATGACGACGTTCACCTGGAACACGTCTTTCGTGCGCAGCTCAAAGATCGCATGCAATGCAGTAACGAAAACCTGCAGCAGTGGGCCCTTGAGGTGGAGAAGCTGGTTCGAAAAGCGTACCAGTCTGTACCTGCGCTCATTGTAGGGAACCTGGTGCAGACATTCATCGACGGCATCCGCGACCTTGAAGTCAGAGCTGCTGTGAGGCTCGGGCACCACGAGACGCTTAAGGACGCCTTGACCCATGCACTGGAGGTGGAAGCGGTGCGGCAGGATCATCGTTCCCACCGCGTCAGGGAGGTTGCAGCAGCTACAGTTAAGAACCGCAATAAAAGCTACAGCCCTAGGTGCTACGGCTGTGGGGAAGGGGGCCATCTTCGATCCAGCTGCCTTAAGCGAACTGTAGAATGGGAAGGTGATCGATCTCGAGAGGGTAGTGCGGCTAATAGCACCGCCCAGCAGCAGCAGGGAAACGAGTAAAAGCCAGGACTGCGGGGCGGGTGCTGTCTGATGTTAAAAGAGCTCCAAGGATTTCGATCTCACAAATCCATGATGGGAACAGCCTAATCATCAAGAGCGAAGTCAACGGAACGCCGTGTAAACTGACCATAGACACTGGAGCCTCTCGCACGGTTGTCAGTTCCCAACTTATAAGTCGGTTCCTTGGGGACTCCGCATACAACCGAGAACGCATTAATTTGGTGACAGCCGCCGGTCAGCGCATACCCGTCCGTGGAGAGAAGGAGATGGAGTTGAAGCTAGGCAACATGATCTACCTGCATAATGTCATCGTGGCTGATATAATCGACGACTGCATCCTAGGCCTAGACTTTATGAGGAAGAATTGTTGTGAGATCGACGTTAAGCAAGGTGTTTTGAAATGTGGACAAGAGGAACTTTTCGTGGAAAGGGCGTTACTAGGGAATGTGTACAGCCTTAAGAAGATTGTTATTCCGCCGAGATCGGAAACGATTGTGCCGGTTAGACTTCCTCGGAACCCTGGGCAAACTCTTCGTTGAGTGCTCGTGGAAAGGGTAGACAACGACCTTCCATGGATAGTGGCTTGAACCTTGGTCAGAACCGCCGACATCTCAGGAGTACGTGTGCTGAACCTTTGTGATCAGGAACAGATTATAGAAAAAGGCACATTGGTTGGTACTAGTGAGGAAGTGGATTGGTTGCGTCGGTGCCAATATCTATCGACTGGGACCCTCAGCAAGGATGGACAAACGAGAGTGACCACACTTTTAGAAGACTGTCGCAGCCTTCTCTCCCCGAATGAAATGGTCAAGGCGAAGAAATTGTTACTCAAGTACGCCAATGTTTTCTCGTCAAACGAAGCTGACATAGGAAAGGCTGGCTTAGTTCAACACAAATTAAACAAAAAAGACAAGAATTACCTATTCGTCAGCGGCCAAGAAGATTGCCTGTAGCAAGTGAAAAGGAAGTGGAAATCATGATTGAGGGAATGGTGAAGGATGGTGTTATTGAACCTTCATCTAGTCCATGGTGTTCACCTGTGGTGCTGGTAAAGAAGAAGGACGGCATCATGCGGTTTTGTGTTGACTACCGCCGCCTGAACGACGTTACGAAGAAGGACAGCTATCCCTTGCCTAGAATTGATGACACGCTGGATATGCTCACAGGAGTAAAGTGGTTTAGTACGCTGGACCTGAAAAGTGGCTACTGGCAGGTTGAAATTGACCCTAAGGACAAGGAGAAAACTGCATTCTCCACAGGAAAGGGTCTGTGGCAATTTAAAGTCATGCCGTTTGGATTGTGCAATGCTCCAGCAACGTTTGAAAGATTGATGGAGCTTGTACTTACCGGGCTAATTGGAGATGCCTGTCTGGTCTACTTGGATGACATCATCATCGTAGGCCGTACGTTTGAGGAACACCTTCAAAACCTGGAACGCGTGCTCATGAAGATCCAGAGTGCCAACCTCAAGTTGAGTCCGAAGAAGTGCTCACTATTCAAACGGCAAGTTAGTTTTTTGGGGTATGTAGTGTCGGAAGAAGGTATCCGCACGGATCCAGAGAAAATTGCTGCTGTCAAGGAGTGGCCGGTCCTAAAAGACAAGACACAGGTTAGAGCATTTTCGGGTTTGTGCTCTTATTATCGGCGATTTGTGAAGAACTTTGCAGGTATAGACAAACCTCTGCACAAGCTAACCGAGGAGAAGCGACACTTCTGCTGGGATGAAAGTTGCGATATTGCATTCCAGGAGCTCAAGAACCGTCTGTGCAAAACACCTATTTTGGGGTACCCTGATGCGGGCAAGGAATTCATAGTTGACACAGACGCAAGTGATATAGGACTTGGCGGTGTGTTGTCTCAACGGAATGGTGATCAAGAGATTGTGATAGCGTACTTCAGCAAGTCGTTGTCAAAGCCGGAAAGGAACTATTGTGTCACAAGACGGGAATTGCTTGCTGTAGTAAAGTCCTTGCAGCATTTTAGCAAATATCTTTTAGAGCGGAAATTCCACTTACGAACTGACCATGCTGCACTGAAATGGCTATTGCAGTTCAAAAATCCGGAAGGACAAGTTGCGAGATGGATTGAACTACTGCAGGAATACGACTTTGTGATCGAACATCGCAGCGGGAAATCTCATGGCAATGCAGATGCATTATCAAGACCTTGCCCTTAAGATTGCAAGCATTGTACTAGGCAAGAGGGTAAGGAAGTGGTATCTGTGAGGATGCTCAGGACAGACCAGCTCAGCAATGAGTGGAAGGACAGCCTACAACATGCACAGCAGGAAGATTCGGACATTAAGCCGATTCTGGAATGGATGAAGGCCAGTGCTCCTAAGCCCAAGTGGAGCGACGTCTCAGCAATGAGTTCTAGATAATTTTTCATCCATTTTAAGTTAAACACTCGAAAAACTTGTCACTGGTGTACATAAATCCATGTAGACTGCTATATCCAAGTTTAGATAAACATTTTGAATATTCTGGTTCCGCAGAAACGAAAGTAAAATTTTCTATGATCCAGAATCTGCTTTCACCAAAATTCTTTAGGAGGCATTGAAAATGTATGAATTCTTGAACTAAGTCAGTCTCTAAATCATTAGGATACATTTCTTCCAAGAAAAGGGCTTTTTCTGTGAGGGTTGAACTTGATGATGTTGTGTATTTTGGTCCGAATTCAAAAGTTTTTTTCAACGAACACCTACCGTTTTTCTAATTCAGATACGAGTCTATCAATGATGACGAGAAATGTATTAGCCCTGAAAGTATCACTCGAAGTCATTCTCATTTTTTATCAGGTGTCTCATCATATATTTTTTCCTTTCCTGTTGTATTTTCTATTACGTCTTTTGCATACTGCTTCGACACGCTTAATTCGATCACTTTTTCTTGGAAATACTTAAAAATTACTCGTTCAGCTACAAAGAACTGAAGAAGCGACAAGCTTCTGTGCAACATTCAGCAGCCGCAGTAGCCACTAAATTTTAAGAGAGGGAAGAGCAAGGAACGAAAAAAGCAAAAGGTGCTTGGCTTTGAATTTTAGCCATTGTACACACACTAGACATGTTTGCGGCGTTATCATACTACGGCAAGAACCCTCTTCAAAACGTTTATCCAATAAGTAATTATCCAAAAAATTGTGCCAGAGAAATATTAGTACGTATTAGAAATCGCAACAGGATTCAACCGAGGCAGGTATTCTTTTAGTTTTGAAGTAAATACATCTATCTGTTTCGAACTCCTTTCGAATACCAACACCCAGCGTACGCCTTCAACAGTACGATCCTGCTGCGGCTCCCGCGGCGGCCGCGCCTTGCTCGTTCATTCAATTCATTAGCATTTCCATAGATATACTACATAGGGCAGGCATTTCGATCAAACACACTTAGCGAACGGCATGTCACTCGTTTCCGTGTCACAATCAAACGCAAATTGTAGGAAAATTTATCAACCAAGTAAATAATTAAAAAGTTTTAGCCCCAAATTCGCCGCCCCTGAAATCTTTTTTTTTATAGGTTAAGGGTGACAATCGAGCACACAGTTCACCTGATGGTAAGTGGTTGCTGCGGCCCATAGACATCTACATCTATCCTCGTTTGCGAATCAAAATGCAGATGCGTTGTCACTCGTGAGGACTAAGATGGAATGCCTAATTTCCAGTAAAAAGGGCCTCCGGCCACCCTGCACTCACCAAGCGAAACGCAGAGGTAAACCTCTACTTCACGCTGGTAATCTGTGAGGTCGTGGTACCACCCCGGTTCGAGCCGGCCCATCCGTGCGACAGCAAAAGCTGCCGCGTGGCTCTACCCCTGCCCTAGGCTCCAGCCTACTCAGCCTGCTGGTAAATCCGCCACTGGGATTATAGCAATCTTATTTCCGCACATGTAGATTATTCTGATTGTAAAATGTCTTCATAACAGCAGCAGAAATACTACAGTAGGTTAACATTTAATTAACAACTTTCAGTGTAGACATTTAAAACCTTTCTTATAGTTTTGTTATAAAAATATTATATACTTACTAGCTTTTGCCCGCGCCTTCGTTCATTATACTTTAAACCATAGGTGATTCATCAATAATCGCACTTTCATAGTAAATTCCATCACCCTCTTTAAAGATGATTTCCGTGATCAAAGCTATCCCATTTCCTTCCCCGGAACTTAAACTATCTCGATACCCCAAATTACATAGTTTAAAGCCGCGTGTCCACCAAAAATGTTGACAACAGTTTCCAATAAGCGTCTCCACCGAGGGAACAAATGTTTGCAACAAGCGTATTCCTTTGATATTGCCGCCGAAAATGGAAATACGGTTCCCGACATTGTTTCAAATTTTGTTGCCAACAGTTGTGTTGGCAACAAAACTTTGGTGGAGATGCGGCCTAATAGACAAAGTTTATCTACTTTGAATATCAAAAGAATTTGAATAAAATCAAATTATGATTTGTTATATTTACGCGAACACTACACATTGAATAAAACTAGTTTTACGGATTTTTATTCGCGTTTAATTAACTTATTTATCTTATTTTTATTAATTCCAGACGTCTCGGGTGCTTTACAGCACCCGTGACCACACCCACAGCACCCGAAGCGTCGGGAATTAATAAAAATAAGATAAATAAGTTAATCAAACGCGAAAACATCCGTAAAAGTAGTTGTATTCAACGTAAAATCAAATTGTTACTGCAGAATGTGCATTGGAAATAAAGTATCAAATTTTATTGTATTTATGGTTCACTTTTTTGGTAATAATATCTTACACATAAAAGATAGATATAGTATACTGTCGGGGACTTTTTTGTAGAACTATTTAAGAGCAACAATTCCACCATACATTATATTTGTGTAACTTACAGTTTTTGCACCGCACGCCAAAATAGCTTGCAGATGAGATTTTTTTCAGACTTAACACTTATCGTTATATTTTGACCAATTTACACAATATCTTTATTAATTAATAAAGTGTGTTGCCTGTGTTGTTCTGACATATGAGCTATATTATTGTATTAAAATACATTCAGTTTTTGCGTAGAAGAGTAACAAACATCCATATATCCTCACAGACTTTCACGTTTATAATATTAGTATGATAGTAGGAAGTAGGACAAATAAATGGCTTCTTATGTAATGTATTAGAAAACACAAAAAATAGTAATTTATTGCTAATAAATACTTTATTATTTACCTAGTCACCTATACCGTCTCCGTTTCTTAGTAGCAGGATGTGAACTAGAATTTTGTGCAAAATTGATAAATAGTTCTTCATAAATTATATTATTTGATTCTGCACTTAAATATTTTGATATTTCATTATAAAGAAACTTTTTATAAACCTCTTCACTTAAGTATGTTTGTGTTGATACTGATTTTTTCTTTTGTGATGAGGTTGGTAGTGTTTTTTTTAATTCCATAATTCTTTGGGAATTCTGATCTATTTTATTTAATAACAAGTTTTCCATTCTGATCATTCTAGCTTCAAGACTAGAGAGATAACCTTCATCTTTTTGTAATATTCCCCTTTTAGGAGAGGTTTGTGCATTTTTCTTACGAGTTTGGTCTGGCAATTTCTCTTCATTAGCATTTTCTGTTCCTTCTAGTTTTATAACACAAGATTCTATGACATCTTTTAATTTCTTATTAAACTCTCTTTTTTCTTTAATAGCAGCTATCCTTTCTGGAGTAATTTTGCTTTTTAATAATGAGAGTTTAGCCTTTTCATTGTTGCTTTCTTTCGAAGTATAAATTGGTTTTTCATGTGTATTTATTTTTGGTGTTTCTTCAGATTTTTGTGGGATTACATTTGGTTGTGGTTGCAGTGTAACAGGCTTGGTTTTTTCATCTGTAATATTTATCTGTTTTTCTGCAGATGGTGTGTTCTCTGAAATAATTTCATTCGTTTTTGTATTGTTTTGATTCAAATGTGTGGCATTTAATACAACAGATGGTGATATTAATTTAAAATTGCCTGTAACTGGAACTGGGTAGGTTATTTTTTTCTCAGATATTATTCGGACTTTTTGCTTGGCTTTAGGAGTTTCCAGTTCTACTATAGATTTCTCATTTCTACATAAAGCTGGATTGAATGCAAAATATTCAGGTTTTATGTCGGCTTCTACTATGTTACTTTTTTCTAAATAAGGTGGTACAATAAGCATGGGATGGGTTTGGGGCTTATTTATATTGTTTTTAATGGATGTTAACTTATGATTTAGTAAATCAGATTCATCAATATCAATATTATGATTAATAATATTAGGTTTCTCATCTATGTTGTTACGTAGTACAAAATTAAGCTCAGGTAAATCATTGACTTTTGTGACTGTCAGTGGTACATTATATTCTTTTAAATATGATGATTCCTCACATTCCGAATTAGTTAAAAAATCTATATACTTTAAAGAAAAATTTGCTTTCTTTTCATTTGTTGAGTAATAATGATTTTCAATATCTTCAAGAACAATGGGATTTAGTTTATAATAATCTTGAGAGTTATCAACTGATGTATTGGGATCACAGTAAGGCCCATCCTCTGTAGGTATTGCTTCAAAAGTAAGTTTTTCTTTCTGAAAATACAAAAATTATGCTTATTTATATAATAATACTACGAAATTTATAATCAGTTACTTATTCTTATAATAATTTATAAAGTCAAGACAGAAGAGAAGTTAAATTTTGGTTTCTATTAAAAATTTAGTCAAATACCCCGCAAGTTTGCTTGCTGGTTCTTATCAGGACAGAACCTTTTTTCACGATCAGTAATAAGCCCCAATTGACTTTTAAAAAATATTATTTATAATTTATATTGAATAAATATTATTCCATTTTATTCCGATACACAAATATAAAGCAGTACTTGACTATCTGACAACAATGCAAATACTATGGCCGGTGGACCTAGAGATTACAAATTTTGAGGAAATATTATTTTAGCAATCACTAATTAGACACCTGTTAATCGCACAGAGAGCACAGATACCGTTTATAGTATTTAAACTTTAAACACTACTACAATACGATTTATAATCATTCATAGGTATATTGAGAGCAATCTCAGGATAACGTGATCTATATATGTATCTAAAGGATTTAGGTTTTTAACTTGGTCTGATTTTCCGTTTCGGCGGCTAGTCTCAACGGAGACTAGCCAAGACTGCGCGAGACAGGATTATAGTGCCCGAGTGTATGCGCAAGCACAGGTGCACTCTCTACTTTCTCACTCTCAAAGTCTGATGGAAAGGTAATCCCCTGTATATTATAATTTAAAAATATTAGAAAAGTTGTTAACATTACTAACATTCCCTCTAACTACTCTTAGTTAGTTTAAAATACTTGTTAGGAGTGGTTCACGACAGTATTCGAATGGCGGATTCGAACCCACGACTATTTAAGTTTCCGGTCTGTACTTTGTCATTAGGCTACTGACACATTATTACTAAAACATACACATTTCATAGTTTCTGTTATATCAGTAGTAGTATTAATTATATAGTTTTTTTTATTGTGTACCTTGAGCATCCGGTGTTGCCAGTGCCATTAAAAATGCTACCACAAAAAGTTTTTAATGTTTAAAAGCCTTTTCGTAACATACATAATTTAAAATTAAAAATTTTGTACAGCCGACTTCAATATAAGTTATTTAAGAATAACTTAAAAACTATTGGTCTGACCTTGATCAAATTCATATGGGACCACACGAGAAGTACCAGCTTTCAAATAAAAAAAGAATCATCGAAATCGGTTCACCCAGAAAAAAGTTCTGAGGTAACACACATAAAAAAAAAAAAAAAACGAAAAAAAAAAAAAAAACATACAGTCGAATTGAGTACCGGCTCCTTTTTGGAAGTCGGCAGAAAATAGTAACAAATAAGTGAAAAACTAAGACAAATTTTCAATCAATAACGCGTATTTAAAGACAATGACAACTACGATGCAGCAGTTTTACTTTTAGCCATTCTATATATCTAGACCAAAGATGTTTTATAGGTCCAGATACCGTGTACGCGCGCCTAAAATACTTCCATTTCAAAGGCGCCAATATTGGCGTATTCGTTCGATCGTCCCGCCATTACGTTACGCCAGCGACGTTCGCTGTGAACATACGTCATGCACCGGTGTTGTTAATTTCGCAAAATGACTGTTTGTGCTGTGAAATCATTTAAAAGTTACTCTTGGAAAAAATATAAGGATAAGAACATCACTTTTCATAAGTAACTATACAATTTTATGGTGTATTTCTTTGTAAAAGAATACGAACGCTAAATGTCAATACAAGTAATAATACTGCGCAATAATATTCGAGTGTTGCCTAGTCTATGAAATGTTTTTACCATTTTTTAATGTCATGATCAACCACAAAGGTTATCTGTATAGGGGTTTTAAACAGTCTAATTCTACAGATTTTACCTAACCTATAGAGTTAAACCGTTTTAAGGGTTAGGGTTGAACTACATCTAGCAGCATGAAATTGCACTTTCCTGTGCTTCTATCATTTTTTGGTCACTCAGATTCGTTATAGTAGTAACCGGTAAAGTTCCACCCTCAAATAGCCGATTGTAAACCGGTTTTAAAAGTTTATCTATCATTCTTGTTAATTCATACCAATATAATATTATAAATGTGAAAGTGTGTTTTTTTTTTGTTTATTTGTTTTTGTCCTTCCTACACGCAGCAACGAAACGGAGCAATTTAAAAAAAATAAACATTTTGCTATCTCTTGGCTGAAGTTTACGCTTAACCAAACTTACTTTTTTTCGTCATTTTACTTAGGACTGAAAAATAATTTAATGTCTTCGTAAAAAGCGGCAATATTTTGTGTTCTACAGTACAAAAGTGTAGTACTCTGTATATATTTAGTAATATTAGATTATAAATATATGTTACATACATAAATATCTACTGTGCTTTTTTATTTATTTTAACTGTTACATTAATTATAGGTTTTATTACATATCTTCAATATTTTAGTGCGAATTTCGTACCTATATAAAACACACGTAAGCAACCATATCCCCATACACACACACACACACACAAATGCACACGCCACGCACACACATTTTATACTCTTAGAATCAATAGGTACGTCAATAGGAATGAAATATAAAATCTCCCACATTTTTTGGGTAATCGATTCGCACTGTTATTACCGAAGTCACGCACATTAATGCAGCCATGGTGCGTAAGATATACGCGTCACGTGGTACTCACGCAAACATGAATCAAAGACTGTCTTCACTATGAACGTTGCGGTGTATTAGCAACACGGTATCTGGACCTATAAAACATCTTTGATCTAGACCCTTTTTACTGGAAAAGAGGCATTCCATCTTAGCCCTCACGGGTGACAACGCATCTGCATTTTGATTCGCAAACGAGGATAAATGTAGATGTCTATGGGCCACAGCAACCACTTACCATCAGGTGGACTGTGTGCTCGTTTGTCACCCGATCCTATAAAAAAAATATGTATATTATACTCACAATTAATTAAACTTTCTTTGAAAAACATATAAGTTTTCTAAACAATTGTTTGGCCGAACCAAAAAGGCAGTGTTTTTGACAAAATTTGGAGGTCTGGACAAATTAATCTCATTTTAATTTGTAAACTGTACGACTTGCATCCATTTAAACAATACATTCTAAGAGTTTAAGAATTACATAATCGCATAAGATACCTGATATATTGAGGTACACTTAGGAAATTCCATCACTAAAGGGGTGAAAAGAGGTGGTAGTTCGTGTGAAGTAACATTTTTCTTTAAACACTACGTCTACAATTAAGCTTCTATGTAAATACACCTTTCCAAAGAAGTATAATAATATATTATGTTTCATTATTTAATAAAATAACATCTCCATAGAGCGTGACCGGGAATGGCAGTTGGTATGGATAAAAATATTAATTATTTTAGGGTACGTTTTTACATACTATTCAAAAATAAGTTACTTGAAAAAAATAACACGAAACAACTATATAAACAGCAGAGTGTAAACGACTTATCCTAATAATTGTGTTATCATCTCCATATGCATAGTAAGGATACGCGTAATGAAACAAGATCTAAAGTTATTAGAAGTTTAAGTGCATCCTATATTCTTATCCACTTCCAAGACTTAAGGCTTCGTAGAGAACAATCAGCACTGGCACCGTAGACTGGATTCCTCTTATCAAGTACCCTACAGAATTAGGGCATAGAAAACGTTCAAAGATTATTATTTATCCGAAACGGAAAATTTTTCGGAGGTTAGTGCTGCACAATTTTCCGAAGTGTTTTTGAAAATAGGAAATGGCTTTCCATCATATACTAATTGGTTTCCGGTTCCGCAGTGTAATTGTAACAACGTATGTCAGTGAGCTTAGCCGAAATAACTTGCAAATAGTTGGATAAAACAAACAACTACTACAAAACAGTGACAATATTTCGAGAAAGCCTATAAAGTTTGGGACTTGGAATTAATCAGAGCAAATGTTGAGTTTTAGAGTAAAACAACGACATTCCAGTCAACTAGTTCTAGTCAATAGTACTAACATGACTACAATTGATATTGACAGTTGCAGCGCTGTCAGAAAAAAAACTACTGATTCTGAAAAAAAGTTAATTTACAACTTACAACATTGACTTTTAAAAAAACTGATAGAAGCATGGAATTGCTGCTCACAAAATTAAAAGAGAGATCTAATGCCTGCATTAGATGAGAAGATGAAATCGCTTGTAGACGAAAATAATGCTCTGAAAACAATAATAATAAAGTTGGAACATAAAATTGGCTTTTATAGAAAAAGATAAGAGAGAAAATAATTTAGTGTTCTCTGATGTAGAAGAGAAATGGAAAAGAGAAGATGAATTAGTTGATCACGTAAAAGAAATTATTTAAAAGCTTTTAAAAATTTACTACGCAAACATCCGCTCTATAAAATAAAATGATGTCTTACCTAGTACGAAGAGCACCTCCCGCCCTCCCTCAATTTCTTTCTTTCTTTCTTTCTTTCTTTAAAAAACGTAACCCCCACACTAGGATTTTCTCCTGTGTCGTGGAGGCAGTTTACAAACATAAATTGCACGAGGACAAACATCCAGACCCGGAACAATTATTTGTAGGCCATACAAATGTTTGTTCTGTGCGGGATTCGAACCCGCGGCCATCACCGCAACAACTCATTGCTAAGCCACTGTGCCACGGAGCCGTTTTGCGTGCACTATCCTCGTCACCACTAATCCCAGCACTACTACTCCCAACACCACTACACTAGCAAAGACACACCACTGACGACAATACGACACGTGTTTCGCCTCTACACGAGGCATCCTCAGGTGATGTAGACTCTACGGTGGCTGACCGTTAAGTGGAGTCTTACGCAATTGAGGGAGGGCGGGAGGTGCTCTTCATACTAGGTAAGACACATCATTTTATTTTCTAGAGCGGATGTTTGCGAAGTAACTTTTTTAAAAGCTTTTATATAATGGATTTCCGCAAAGTAACGCCTGATTAATTAAAGAAATTATTGTAGATATGAACACCTGAAAAGTCAAGAAATAGCTAATGTGTATAGAATCGGATAGTACTGAAATAAAAACCGACCAGCAGTGGTATTCTTTGTATCAATATATATAATATACCTTTAACTAAGGGTGGGAGACATCATAACTGTGCAGAAAATAAAAAATTGTACCCAGTAAGTCTCACGGTCTTCGAGTAATGGGACATTTACGAAATTTTCTAAATCTTTACTCTTATCCATTCATTTCGGTGCCAAGATTACAAATAAAGGAATTTTCTCAACCTGTTTTTGTAGCACACATACTATGTGCATGCGGACCATTCTGTGGGCAGCACGGTCCCCAGATCTTAACCGGCTCGACTTCTTTTATTGGGGGTACCTTAAGGAGCTGGTGAACAAAGAGCCCATTACCTCAGTTGAGCAGCTTCGTGAGCGTCATCAGAGCGACCCGAATCTAGTCAAGCGCGCAAAATAAAGTGCTCTTTTATTAGAAAATGCAGAGTGTGCATAAGAGCATAAGCGATTTTGAGCACTTGTAAGAAATTTCAAACCAATAAATGTACTTTAAATGTCTTAATTTGTTTAATTTTCTTGTTTTAGTAAATTCCTTTGTAATAACATTAATTTTATTTGCGGAATTCCAACTCTCCAACTTAATTTTAATTTTACTTGTAATTTGAAAAAATTACCCTTGCCCACTTTAACAGCAATATTCTTTACACTGAAAGCTAGAAACACCGAGTTGTATACCACTTCTGAATCTCCATGAATTAGGCAAGTTATTAATTAGTTGGTCACTCAGGTGACCATACATTTTTTTACACAACAAGAGGTCAAACTTTTGGGAAAATTTTTCAACATTGTTTTATTTTGTAAAAATATTTTTCAAAAAAAACTGTAGACGTGGCACCAAAATGGCAGTTAGTATTAGATAGTATAGCTATTAAAAATGCTAGAAGAAGAAAAAAAACAGGTGGAGAAAATTCGTTCATTTGTGATTTTGGCACCAAAATGATAGGACAAGTGTAAAATAATTTTGAAAATTTCGTAAATGTCCCATAACTCAAAAACTGTGAGACTTTTACTAGGTAGGTTTTTTGTTTTCCGAACAGTTATAATGTCCCCCACCAGTAGTTAAAGGTATATCCACTCCTTCGGCCACAACTTGTATATAAGTAAATAAATAAAATAAATACAAATATAAACAGTTAAGGCATTATGGGTCCATTTTCGACCACAGGACAACCAATTGTTATTATTATTGTTCAAATAGTTTAAGCTGTAGTACTACATTTATGTTAGAGAGGTGATAAAAAGAGTGAGAATGCAGTACAAATGTTGGAATTTCAAATGTAAATAGGGCCTGCTAAAGCTGGATTATCTGTTTATGTGAGATACCTTAAAAATAAATTAATCATCATTTGTTTTTTTAAATAATCCAATTCTTTATCAAAAAATGTAAGTTATGGTATTCTATATAAGCACTGTATTAAAGCTATATCAAAATACACAGAAGACATTACCTACCTGTGTAGAAGTTGTGTAAGAGAGAATCCACTACTCCATATCATTCCATGGGTATATTAAGAGGCAAAAGAGGAAAATATAACAGGAGATGAGCCGCAGCATCACCATAATTACACTGTAAGTTCGCTGAACTGCTTACCAAGTGGGGCGACCATTGCAAACATCCCTATGAGGCATTCAATGGGGGTCTATGTTTAGCAGTGAAGTTATGATAATAAGCTCTTATAAAAAATTATAAATGAGTCTCCGTGTAGTTTAGCCATTTGTGCAGAACAAGATATAAGTTCATGATTGTGTGCAGTCGCAATTTTCTCACTCTCAGGATCACAACCAGAGAAAGATCAGGCATAGGACCAACAGCTTTACGTGTTTTCCCAGGCACAGGGGTGAAACCCTGCCTACTTCTCAACTCCTAGTTGCTACTGAGAATTTCTTGACAGAAAAATCCAAAAACTGATTTTGGCCTCACCAGAGTTTTAATTTGCAGACCACAGCAGTTTCACTTATTAGCACTAGACCAACGAGACAGTCAAAATCAAAAAAATGATGATGACCGGTATAGAAACAAATATTTTACATCTAGCTTTACCATTTTGACAGACAGAAGCACGTTAACATCTTACTTCTACCTCATTCCCATGCCAATCTACTGCTGAATGTGGCCCTCTAATATGATGGAGGATTTTAACCTTTTTGCAGTAAAACATTCTATTCAGATAAATAGTTTCTGACACATTCACATACCTTAAAGTTCATAAAATATTCATCTTTAAAATGATATTGACACACAACTCTATTCTTTAGTTGAGACACTTTTAAATTAAGAAAATCTAGTCGTCGTGCATTTATTAACCACTGATGACACCTTACTTTATCAAACACGGGATAATGAAACATATGTGTTTTTCCATCTGTCTTTACCACACAATTGCGATATGTACACCGACAACCTCCCATGATAGTAGGTCTGAAACATAAAACAAAAATAATTCTTACATTTTCAAGAGGAAGCTGGTTCAATGTTGCATATTCTTTCAAAGAATTCACAAAAAAGTTCTGCATGGAATGGAAGAATTTCTTTTTAAATACTAAGTCAATTTAGCTAATGTAAAAGTTAATTGGTCTCACTTTTATAAACAGTGGAATCTCGATAACTCTGACTTCATTAAGTTGTAATCTTCACTTAAATTGCCATTTTCTAAATATGTGGTATCTTGAATCATTTACTTTCTAACTTGAATAGAATGTTATTTCCCCGTGAGGTATTGATAGTATATGTTTATACTCCATAAATTGAATTTCAACAAGTGGTAAAATAAAACATTTTGTACAACCGACTTCAATATTATTATTGATTTTTTTAAACCGCTGGACAAATTTTGATAAAATTTAAATGGGACCACCCGGGAAGTATACACTTTAAAACTAAAAAGATTTTTCTAAATCGGTTCAGGTGTCTTTGAGGAACTGTAAACATACATAAAAAAAGATTCCTACGAATTCATAACCTCTTCGTTTTTTGAAGTCGGTTGAAAAGTAGACTAAGTTGAATTAAGTAAAATAGAAAGATGTGTTACTTGATATTCCCCAAACTCATAGCAATAAAATCCAAGACGAATGTTTGTTGTTTCTGTTCTATTGTGTGTGTGTCTTACGAACATATGTGATGATTGTACAAATGTGTGGCGATAATCTAACACACATTTTCATTGTCTTCCGTTGTCAACATTCATTCGTTTAGTAAGTCTACTGTTGTCTAATCATAATCATTTTAGGTATCAGTGGCACATAAAACAAGGTGGAGCATAATGTTTGATGACATACATGTTAATTCTTTTAGTAATTACAATTGTTAAAGAAACCGTTTTGTTTTTAGGTATAACTTAGAATCATGTTCTATATATTTAGGCTTTAAGGGCAAAATATTTTTTAAGTGAATTACAAAATGATGCAAATTGTTGTTATTATGCATGTAGACATAAAATTTCACTTGGTTTTGCCTCCTACCCAGAGGCAATCACAGCCTAAATCCTCTCCTAGATAAATAATCCTCTATTAATAAATATGTACATAATTAGAATTTCAGTTTATGTTTTCATTTTCCAGAAGTGGCATTTTGGTTCAAACAACAGTTTTAATAAATATCACAGGACACAATTATTTAATCCCTCCTGTAGATTTGTATTATATTATGACCTAATTAAATTTATTTTAATATGATATACCAAGGTATTATTAGGTATTAGTAGAACACAAAACTTACTTTTATGTTTTCAAATAAGTTTTAGTTTATCATTGTTTTAAATGCTGCAGTTAAAGATAAACCATATAACAATTTAGTTTACGTTCCAGTTTCTTATATTTGATCACAGAATACATGTACCCTGATATTTGATAATATCTGTCTTTTTAAAACTACAATGCACGATTCACAAACAATATAGAAATACTACCACAGAATACTTTACATACTACGCGTTCAGACAGACGTCTCTGGTTCTGGTACATTCAGTTTGGACCTATGGAGTGTAGAGTAGAAGGAGGACCATCTCTTCTCTGTATATGAAAAGTGTCCCTAAAAACGCGTCCAATAAGGGTGGCGCTGCAGTAGCATAGGATAAATTAAAAAAAAAGCGCCAAAATTTATTTGAATAAGATAGACAAATAAACAAGGACCGACCAATCCGCTTGGTTTTGTACTACGTAAATAGTTGAGGTTTTGTATACTGGCATTTTACTAACTACTCTAGTCATGAAATTTTATAAATATTTTAATTCAGCTGACTTCACTCCGTCTACAACAGCTATATTCATATCGTAGTTTTTCAGACGACAGCGCTATTGTGGTAGGTTTTGGAACCTCTATTTTCAGTATATATTGGGACACTTTTTCAACTTTCGCACCTTATAAGATGGTTCTCCTTCTACTCTACACTCCATATTTGGACCGTAGAGCAAATCAGAACATGACATTTCGTTTTTTTTTAAATATGAATTGGATATAGGCAAAGGAATAATTTTATTTCAGCCTAGTATAAATATATATATAGGTACATACCTATATAATATTTTTATATATACAATTTTAATTACTATTTTATTATGAAGAAGGAGGATTCGTAGAAATAAAATGCATTGTATATATTATTTATTATATGATTTATTTTTTTAACTTTTTTAAACTCGTTTAAGGCTTTTTTTTGCATTGGTGGCAATGTACACTTTTCGATTTTAATGATGTCCGTGCCTTTCAGAATCCCATCTGTGGTATATGCTATAGAGTAACATAATTGCTCTCTTGCTGCTTGCACTTGAATATTTTCAGTGGAAAGGTTCTCTTCAATACATTCAATATCCAGTGTATTGAGCTGGAAAAAGGAATATTTAAATATGTAAATTACAAGTTTGAATATGTGCGCTAACTTTAATTGTTGTTGTTTATAAACGTTTGCACAGAAAATGTCAAGACAAGAAGAGGCCATTGTAATCAGATAAAGTTACTTTCACATAAATCTAAGAAGCTTTCACAATTATACAGAAATTTCCAATAATTTTTGAACATAATTATCATTGATACCTAAGATAATTAAGTACATTGATTTTTGATAGAAGGTTGGGAGGATAAAAGTATTTGTAAAGTAGCCAATTATCTATTGGAGTCTATGTTCATGTTCTACTGCGGGGCACAGACTATGTTATATATAGGCCGTACAAATACTCGACTGTGCGGGATTACAACCCGCGACCCCAAGCGTTGCAACTCATTGCTAAGCCACGGAGCCGGTGACCACATCTTTAAAATATTTTTATTCCTTAGACACACAGATTTTGTCACAATATTCCAGAACATGATAAATTTGCACTTAAAATTGGAATTAACGTTAATTCATTTATTTCAGTGGTGTAGACAGAGATCAGATTTGCTCAAAAATATAAACATATTACTAATCCTAAAAAAAATATTATCTGAACTAAAGTTTTAGAATGGCGATTGTTTTGCAATTTAAATTTTACATGATTATTATCTTAGTTTTTTTACTTCCTTGGAAATCACATGTTCATCATTTAGTTTATCTAACAAGTGCAATTGAGTATGCTTGCAGTCTATTTAGTAAACATCATCTTGCCATTTTAATACATTTCCATCAGTTATTATGTGTTTTGATAGCAAAATTATTCCTCATACCTTTTTTATAATGGCTGATCAAATATCACACTAAGTTTATTTGAACTGTATCATCTGAAATAAAAACATAAAAGATTGTTTGTCATTGTCAAATAATTAATTCTCAATAATGTTGACAATTAATTATTTAAATAATAGAATTCCTCATTTAATTCAGCCATCAACTTAAAATTTTAATACATTATTATAAAAATAATTTATTATTATGTTTCATTCATCATTCATTCATTGCAGACTATCATAAAGCTACTGGTAAACATAGGCCTTCATAGGTTATCGTATAAGGTGTACATTTTCCATAGTTGTAACACTTGGCAGACAAGTTGGCAACCAGTTTATTATTATTACTAAGTTGTTATCAAAGAGATCACTTGAAATGCCAGGACTTAAGTATTTTTATTCAATGTACAGTATGTCCGTACATCTTTATTATAATTTTTTAAATTTTATATGAATACTGAATATACTGAGCAGTTATGTTTATAAAGGAATAATTAAATGTACATACCTTTGTCATCTTTCATGATAAACCTAACTCAATTTACTCCAAAGAATAGTGTTGAGTTTATCCAACTTTTTTTAGCCTTATTAAGTCAGATTTAGCAGTATGAAACACTATTCAAAAAATTTGCGACCGAGCAGGCTTCTTGAAAAGGTTACTGGAATGCACCGTACTTTTAAGTTTGTCACAGTTTATAAAGTCCAACCACTTGTTTCTTTGGCCTTCGTCAGACTCTTCTCTATTACTTGCACAATTGGGAATGGAACACTTAAAAATAGATTTTAAAACTAAAAATTATATACAAAATACACTAAAGCTAAAGAAAACGTCCCGTCGAAATATATAACCTATTAAACAATAAACAACCTTTAGTAAAATAGAATTAAATGCCAATAAAACTTTATTTATAATTTATAGTTAGTTCATACTTCATAGAAAAACAAAATAAAAATTTCCAAGAAAACTTCTAATTTGACAGTTACGCGACAATAACATGACAAAATGGCGTCAGGGAGAAGGGCGCAAGAGTTGGGAGGGACGAGGGAAACGTCATGTTCTGAATTGCTCACTGCATTTCAATTTCATACGGTCAAAGATTTTTGCTCAAAGATTACCAGCCGCGGCACGATTGCACGACAAATATACGTAAGTATCATACACAAACTATATAAAACAGAACACAGAATACTTTACTCCTAGCGGAGAAGAATGTTAACTCCATATAAAATGGATAGTTAAGATTAAGAGTTAGAAATGGATTATTTTAGAGTATCGAATTCGTATCAATTTCGATATATTTTAAAATATTGTATCGTTTTTTTCGTCGTCCAACCGTCAGTAGATAAAATTTTAGACTTTATCTTTACATCATTCAATTGATGACGATATATCGATATTTATCACACGATATATATCGATACTGTTTAAAAATATAGATTCGATATATATCGATATATTTTTTCCCTTTGCCCATCCCTAGGATAGGAACAAAATTCAGCGGCATCTAGCGTGGTAGCAGATAAAAAAAATTGAGCGGGAAAATTCTAATCGCAGAAATTAAATTTTTTTCGTCGATCTGGTTTTCCAAGATTTAGTCTATTAAAAAATATGTTTCTATAATTAAACATTATTTCTATAAACATATCTCTAGAATTGTAATAATTAATTATTTTAGAAACATATTTCCTAATATAATAAATCTTGGAAAAACCAGAACCGATCACAGTTATGTATTTCTGACGAGGAATACAAGTTATAGTAAAATATGAT